TTTCAGATTTGCCTTAAAATAAATAGCTGAAATGCCAAAAATACCAAATAAAAATTAATTAAAAATATTATTATTTTTTATTAGTAATCAGTTTAAAAATTAGTATTTTATTTAGTTTTTTGCTTTTATTCATGCGTTTTTTGACAAATCTTTTATAAATAATTTTCAGAGAAAATAAATTTTAAAAAACACAGAAGAATCTCATTGCAGGACCCAGAGTCACTTGAAATGATTTGTTTGTTAAAGAGTATGTTTTTTTCAGGATGACTGATTCCTAACAAGTATCCTTTAAAGCTTTTGAAAATTAGATTTTTAAGATTTTAACATTTTAACATGCCTAAAGTATTGAGTTCTTAAGTCAGATAGCCTTTGAAAATTATCACATTAGTAGGAATGTTTGAAAGCATCAATAAAATGATTATATACATTTTCCAAAAGCAGTTTTTCCCATCCACTGAGAAAACTTTTATTGGCATTTAAGGAAAATATTAAGATACACTAGTATATTCAAGATTTTATTAGAAATATATAAGTTATGATGCTTTTATTTGATACTTCTAAAAGCAATCTAAATTTAAAACAATGACATTAAAATGTTGCTAACTGTATTATATATATTATTTTAAATAAATATTTAAACTGCAGAAACTATACATAAACAATAATAAATTTGTTTTATTTCCCTGAAGCAATAACATTGATACATAAAAAATAATTACAGTAGAGCGTCGTTTATCCGAAACATCGGTTATCTGAAGGAATTTCAGTCGACAAATTTAAATTTTCGCCAGTGCTGTGGCGCTGTAATCTTTGGCTATGTCTTCGGCTACTCAAATATTTTACGTTTTTGATACTAAATTAACTTCTGAAGTATAATTTTTTATTGTTTTTATATTTTTCAATATATTTATTTTGTTTGTACAAAATAAAAAAATAATTTTAACGATACAGTAGTCTTCATTAGGCTTAACATCGATGAAAATTCAATGCAAAGCGACACGCAACGGGGAAAATTTTCAACACGGGATAAATTAATATATTTTTTCGTACATAATTGGTTATCCGAACAACCCCAGTCCCCAATTGATTCGGATAAACGACGCTCTACTGTATATTAATCTGCATTTGTAATACAACTTCTGGAAATCAATCTACATAATATGTTAGTTTTGCTACATTTCTGGATACATAGCTGAGTCAAAAGCTATGCAGTTAAGACATTATGTATATATGTTAGAGACAGTATCGCTTGATTTACTTCATAGATAAAATTAGCATAGATAGAAATTAGTTTTCAACATTGTATGGTCATTTTTCTCAACATTCGGTATTGTTGACCATTTTAGTATTACTTTTTATAATGGTGAATTTGGACTTTTTCAAGTATTACAGTGTTTCAGTATCCCAGTATATCAAATCATATTGTAATTTAAAAATAGCTGTAGTGTTGCATTATTAATGTTCAGTCATTCTTTATTAACTTTGTCAAAAGATATCATTTTTCATTACTTAATTTATTGTATGGCATTTTCTATAGATAATCATCCTGTTCTTGTCTTCTAGTGCTAATGAGATGTAAATGAAATCTGTTTACATGTTTTACTTATTGCATTTACTCATAAAATGTTTTGCTATGCATATGATAGAACTTACAGTAAAATTAATACTTGTAATAAGACATTGCAAATTGTTTATATCTGGATTTTAAAACTATGCTATACAAATCAGCTTTGTGTTTTCTGATAGAAAACAAGCTGATTGTATTTGAATCCTATTGATAAGTCACAAAATACTTTATATTAATTATTCAAAAACTTATATAATCAGATATGTGATGTATAGGTTAATTTCTATTGAATAACTGCCGACCTTGACTACTGAATCCCATTAAGTGCTCAGAGTTTGCACATGGTTTACTGATTGAAACCATTCTTTGCATTTTTCTTTTATATTGTTTCTTTTTATTACATTTTCAATTAATTCTCATTTAAAGTTTCAATTTAATGTGAGAAAATTTAATTATAGTCAAATTGTATTAAACTTTTTATGATAAAATATCTTATAAATATGAAAATCAATATGATCATCAATTTATACTTTGTATTATTTTTACTTATTCATAGGATATTATGTAAATGTTAAAACAAATATTAACTTTTATTTGTATTTGTTTTTGTGTTGATTATCATCCTGAACTTAGGAAAATTAATTATATTTTTTTGAATGTTACATTGACATTTCTCTCTAACATTACATAAGAATGTTCCAAATTAAACTCTTACATTAAATATTGTCATCAAATTAAATTGTAATCATATAGTATTGTACATGGGAAAAAAAACAAATCAAAGTTAATATTTTTGTTTCAACATTTACACAATATCATATGAATAAGTAAAATAATATATAGGATAAATTAGTGATCAGATGATTTTGTATTTCACTTTCCATACTTAAACTTTTCATGATAAAACATCTTATAATATAATTTGAACATTGTTAAATGAATTACTATATCATACTGAATACATATTACTTTTTGAATGCTATTGTTAAAGCAAAATAAATAGCTTATGTAAATATTTTAATGGTAAATGTGAATTTTTATGGTAGTAAAATTCACTTGTTGCTTTCTGAAAGTTTTGTTTAAACACATGAATCTTTGAATATATATACATAGTAAATAGTTCAGTCTAAAGCTTGTGAGAACCATGTAAAAAGTTCTTGCTTGTTTTTTTTGTAATAAAAAATTCCAAATGATTCATTTTTTGCATTTTGTTCTGACAAAACTATCTGATTTTGAATAAATACATTTATTTACTATATTTTTATACAAAATGTTTATTGATTTAAGTTTTTCAGCTTAATTTGTGTTTGCTTTGACTGCTAGTTGTAGTTAAATAAATTCTATAAAGTCATATAATTTAATTTAATTTGTTTACAATAGTTAATTTTATTAATAATGTAATAATGAGTTGATTGTTATCATCAAAAATAGTAAAAAAAAATATATATGAAATATCTTTAATTCAAACTCTGATAGTTTGAAATCCTATTAGTTCATAACTGTACTGTTTGTCCCAGCAGGGGATATAGAGATTTATATGTTAAGGAATTTAGTTAGTTTGAAATATGGCTACTTTGAAATTTGAAGTGAAAATTCTTTCCAAATTTATATCTATATATTAACTCGTATTAGATTGTATCATGTTTAGATTGAAGTTCACATGCCTCCATACTATAAGGGAATAATAGACCACAAACTATTCTTATATGGTCAACATGGCTTTGCTTTTGCAGTAACATATTTTCTGGTATCACCTTATCCATCAACTACACTTTTTCTCTTATCTCATAAAATATGGCTGGGTTTCAGGGTTGCAAATTTGGGTTACAAGTAGCAGACAGATATTTGTAGGACTCTGCTACTAGATTTGGCAACTTTACTACTTTTTGCACTACTGTAAAAATAATTTGGGTTACATTTTGAGAACTTGCTTTATTTTTTATAAAACCTATATGCCAACCCATGGGGTTCTCACCTGACAGTTGCTGTTTATTTAAAATAATAATTAATTAGCAAAAGTAGTGTTCTTTATATGTAGCCATATTCTACTTGTTTAATAAGTTACATGGCATTTGGCATATTGTACAGAAGCAAATCTTGGATAATTTGAATCACTAGATCTGTTTTGTTGATCAATTCTGGCCTTTTCTGTTTGATGATATTACTCAATTTGTTTACTTGATGGCAGTACACTTTCGAATCAATTGTTAAATTGTCTGGTAAAAGCTCCAAAAACAAAATTTCCTTAAATTCCCACCAAAGAGAGCATCTTTCTAAGAACACGTGGAACCCATATATCGAGCTTTGAAAGAAAACCAATTTGTTTCAAGTAATCATAAGCAGTTCAATTTGATAGATTTAATCTCTTAGTGATTTCACGTGTTGTTATTCGGCAGTTTGCTTCAATCAGTACCTTTATTTTGTTTTCATTGGCTTCAATTGGCCATCCAGAACGTGGTGCAACTTCAATATTGAAATTGCCAAAACAAAATTTTGTAAACTAGTTTTGCCACTGTCGTTCTGTCAATACATCTTCTCCATACACATCACACAATTCTTACCTCGCTTGAACAGCATTCTTTTGGTAATAAAAGAGCAAAATATGCCGAAAATTCTGCTTTCGATCGTCCATATTTGATGGAACACAAAAAATAAACAATTGCACAAAATCAAACAAAATTTTTTACAAATAAACCTTAATTTAAAATGCTAGCTGTCAAAATATATAATGATAATACGATTTAGAATAAAAATGGCGGGAAAAATACGAGTAATCCGTCTAGTGGTAAAAAAACGAACTTACTTTCCAAACAACCCAATATATTTGTTATTTTTTTATATCATTTCTTTAGACTCACATTCTGTTATGCTGTGTTATATATATACTAAATGTAGGTAATTATAAGAAATGATACACACCTAAATTTTAATTATAAGTTTTTCATTGTATCAAGAATGCTTGAAGCAGTTTAAATGTAGGATTTTATTAAAACTTCTTACTTGCATAATGTAAATTATTATGTGCAGAACATAATATTTTATACTCAAATTTTTACCTCATTTCTACACAATGGTTAAGTTTTGTCAAATTCAAACAGGAAATGTCAGTGTGTGAATTATTAGAAAACTTACTATTGATTAATTTTAAATCTTAAGTTTTAATTTTTAATGTAAAAAGAATAACAATTTAAATTCAAATCCTTGTCCTTATTTAATTTATTTAACCTTTTCTTATATAAATACATTGTAAATATTAACAGTAGTTAACTTAAGCAAAAATGGGATAGAGCAGAAAATGTCATCCAAACTTATGTTAATCACATCTATGATTAGTTAGGGTCTCTATGAATCAATAAACCAAATAATAATGTATATCCTTTAAATAAATATTGTAATTTTTGTAAAATGTAACAAATTTTCTTTGTTAATTTAGGAGGACCCACAGGTACACCTCTTGTTCTTCGAACTCGTCAAGCTTTAGATCACATAGGAATGCCTTGGTAAGTTGTATTATAATATTTAATATATATAGAAATATATATAAAGGTTTTTAATAATTTAATTAGGCATACAAGATATGTAGGCCAGCCAGAAGTTGGAGATAAATCTAGAGCAACTCTGGTTCGTAGTTGTATTGATGTAGGCACCTCAAGTAATATTGTACAGTTTTTGAATGAGTTGGGATTTAGGTAATTTGAAAAATTTGTTGAATTATTTTAAATTGCCTATTTGACAAAAATATTTTCCTACAGAGCTGACTACGAATTTGTACTAAAAGGATACATGTTTCGTAAAGGAAGAATGAAAGTAACTGTAGCTAAAGTTTGCAAGGTTAAAAGTTTCTATATATCCTGTTATATTGAATTTTATTTTAAGTTTATTTTTTTTTACTAATATAATTTTATATCTTGCAGATTTTACAACAAGGTAACCCAGAAAGTATTGAGCCAGTATCACAGTCTTACTTAGTGGAATTAAGTGTAGTAGCACCTGCTGGACAGGTATTCTTAGTCAAATTTTATTCTTTTTTAAGACTTTACTCAACATGGCTAATTTTTGAATGTATGAAGTATTTTGATAAAGTTATGATCATATTCAGTTAATAATTTATGACATTTTACTTTATAAGATTTTGGATCTTTCTGGTAGCATACTCAATGTCTTCTTTCAGTCTTACAGTTTGGTTTTCTGTAAATTTATTAAAACATTTTGTTTTGAATCATAGACTCACTGATATAGAATCTGTATGATGTACTCACTGGACTTTTATTGGAGTCTTTCAGGCAATTTCAGTAGAGTCACAATCTACCAAGATTCCACAATATTTGAGGTAAATTGTGAAAGAGTGCTTTGACAACAAAGACTTTGAATGCAGTATAATAGTTTAATTTGTGAATCTTGGCTTAGCAAGGAGTCTAGAAATATTAACAATTTACTCTGACAACTTCTCATAACAATATGAATTTTAAAAAAGATTATGATTAAAATTTCTTTAATCATTATAAAACTGATATTATAACAATATTCTTATGTTTTGTTAATCAAACACTCAGATAACACTGAGTTTTTGGTACAAAGTACTATTGGTCCACAAATCCTCAGATAATCAGGACTCTATTGTATATAAATATTGTAGTAGTTTTTAGAAGAATGAATAAATTTGTTTTGGCTATCAGATTACAGTCATACACATATTAGAACTTGTTAATTTCTTTTTGTATAAGACAAATATAACAAGAAAAATTACTAGGCACAGTTCATTTTCTAACCAAACACAAACTAAGAATTAAGTTGAAATGCTAACAAGTCAATAATAATAGATGGCCCCCAAATATGACAATCAATTACTGCTACTGTGGCAGTGACTGCTAGCATAAGAAAATTTTAAAGTATATACACTTGTGCTAACAATCTTGTATCTTGAAAATGAGATCATGGACCCCAATTTTTATTACATTTTTAATTTCCCACTCATGTTATGTAAAATGACAAAGTTTAGTCAAATCAACTAATAAAAATTTGAGAATGAACTCAATTCTACTGTACTTTTGTGGATTGACAGCATGTCAAAAACCAGGATTACTAGCATGCAAGTTTAACAGCAGCTAATAAAATTGTTACAAACACTTCTGAAGATTTTCTTTGTTTAAGTGTGGTGATTGAAAAAAGTGCTTACATATGCTAAGATTATTGCTCTACATCAGGGCTACTTAAACTATTTTTATTCACGACCCCATTTATAATTGTGATTTTTTTTCGCGACCCCAAAAAAAATATAAAATAAGGATATATACAAATTTGCAAAAACAATAATGATATACTATCACAGTTCACTCTTGTGTTATAATGGAACAGAGACAACTGAATACAATGAAAAGCGACAACACTACCTAGTTCACATTACAATCAGTGTTGCTGAATCGTTGTCTCGCTGCACCAGAAGTAACACAAAGCATGCCATTTTCAAACTCTCACAAATTATTTTCAATATTTTGCATTAAAATCTCGGGGCCCCAAGATTTCGCTAAGCGACCCCAAATGGGGTTGCGACCCATAGTTTAAGAAGCCCTGCTCTACATAATGAAGAAGGGTGGGTTGCCATGTTGCCAAATTGTCTTGAAATGTGTTTGTCCATCACTCAACAGCTAGCAGATGCATTAAATTATAAAGGATCGGTGGTGTGAGACCATTTAGACTGGAAAAATAGCAATCTCTGATACCCAATAAAGGAGCAATATTTGTACAACACTGAAAAAATGAAACCCTACTGTGCTGTATCTCAGCCCATGGAGTTGCTATACTGCTGACATAAGATCAAATGTCTCATTTTAAACTGACATAGCATCTTTTTTTTTTTTTGGTTAAATTTTTCAATACATCTAAAAGAAAACATTGTCAAGCTTGTTGTTATGGTAGTCAAGATGATAATCACTCAGCTGTCTGATAATACAGTGGTGTAGTTTGTAACTTATTTACCATTACAATTTAACCTATCTTCATAATAAACACTACCACAAGATTCCAGCAAAGTTCAATTTAATAGAACTAACATTTTCAGCTATGCTTTAATTCATTCTAAAGCTGCTCCTGATGATGTCATTAAAGCATGGTCAAAAATATTAATTCTATTAAATTGAACTTTGCTGGAATTTCCTGATTTATTTATTAATTCTGTTTCCACTTTGATTTAATTACATTATTTGACTTTGTAGTCTTTGGTATATACTAAAGCCATTGTATCAAAATAGCAAATACAGCTTTCCTTGATAATCCGACAGGTATGGGACCAAAGGGGTGTTGGATTACCAAAAGTGTCCGGATTACCGAAAGTGATTACATATTCGGCATTGTTTTGCTAGCAGTAGCCTACAATATTCCCTACTCCAACTGTTCGAACAGAACTGCTCACGGAAAACACACGAAATGTGTGTCATCGTGTAAGAATTGGGTGGGGAGATTCACGTTGCGGCATGCTTCTGTGCAAGCAGACACGTAACAGGGACGGGTACCTTGATGGGAGGTGTGTTGGACTACTGAGCATGTTGGATTACAAAACGTTGGACTATCAAGGGACAGCTGTATAACCTTTATCAGATTATGAAAATTCTATATATATTAATGCAATATGCATTGTGTTTGGGAATATATAAAAAATTCAAAAGATATTTACTACACCCATTAAGGTAAGAATTTGACTGATTTGACATATTGCAAAAGAACACAATGAATTAAGTTATGATAACAAAAAACAAATAATTGATAGAATGCTGATTTTCTAAGGTGTCTTTCTGGCATGAACACCTCATGTTCATATCTGGATTGGGTTTCAGAAATATTCACAGTTAGTCTGGCATTATTCATTACCATTTGGTCACACCATTGCAGGCCCAATCGGATGGTTGGATTGGCAATGGGACGATACAATGGACATGAATGAAGATACCTTGTAGTTTCTGCATCAGAAAAGTAAAAAACAAAAATATATTCTAACTAATAAAATTTAGTAATACAGATAGTAATTTCACCATAAACTTAAAAAAGTTTTCAGAATTAGAAATTTTTCTTCCAAATGTGGAAACAATGAGAAATAAAAACTGGAAACCACACTTTGACAGTGTTGACCATTCTATTTAAATGCAAACAAAATATAAAACGTGTGAATTCAAAAAGAAAAAAAAACACACATTCCAGAGAACTGTATAACTAATTTATCAATTCTTAAACAAATATATTTTCATATTAAAACTAATATAAATAATTTAATTTTGAAAATATTTTTCATTTTTTATTGTAGGATGCTCTTGCTGATGAAATGAAAGCCTTTGCTGAACAACTGAAACCATATCCTTTCATTTTTTTTATATCTGTTTTTAAATTATTTGTTAAAGTTTATTGGTTTTCTAGTTAAGTAAGAAAGTCAATAGCTATAAAACTGGTGTATCAGTAGAATGTTTTTACCATGCTATTATAGCATACTAAAATAGGTTGAGAGTTATCATAGAATTTGGAATTTGACCTACTAATTTTAGCAGAAAATATTTTTCTTTAACAAGCTTTTTGTAAAGGAACAAAATTTGAAAAAATTGTAAATACTTTTTACTCAAAATAATTTTTACATATTCTAGAAGGGATGTTTGATTGAAATTCATTGAATTTTAATTTTTGAATTAAAGAATTGTCTTTATATATCTCACTTTAATGGCCAGATGCCAAGATATCAGCTCTTACTTATAACCAGAACCTAAGACCAGTAATCGATGTTATCTCTGTAATAACAGTACAATTAGAATGTGTTCAGTTTTCCCTCAAATTCTGTTGTGATGGAATTGTCAGAATGCCATAGACATATAGCATTTTATTAGACATGGCAACATTATTACTTAAATTTAATGTTGTTGGAAGTTATTCTTAATTAAATAAATATTTGACAACCATTATTAGATAGTAGACTCTAAGTATTAGGGAGTTGGCTTTAGAGTCCAGATCAGACTCAAGATAACATTATTTAAAATATAAAATCAGTATAGATTTTATCTATAAGATTTTCATGTTTATTTTGCATAGGAAAATACTTTTTAAAAATTCATAAATCATTATTAATATATTATTATGAAATTTTCAATGTCATAGATTAAAAGATTTTAATAGAAAATTATTTTTAGTCACAAATCATCAGATAAAGTCTGATAAAAATTTTGCTAACCATGACATATAATAGTTCCAATTCAAAAGTTAAAAGAGTTGCAAACAAAAAATCTGCACAAAAATCAAACTTTTTTTATTTTTATAATGTGATTATCCAGGAACATGAAATTGACAATATTCATTCTTCTATCTCTAAATTATGGCATCTGGTCTGCAGTTAGTGGCTTTTCTGATTTTAGTCTTTATACCAGCCATCAGAATTTGAACTTGACATGTTTCAGAAGACAATCCATTTTCATACACTTTGTTTCATCTGTTACCAGAATCATTTAATTGGACACAGATGAGGTACATTTGCAATGTTTTCTCTTTGCTGACATACAATTTGTATCCCCTAGGACAGAAACTGTTATCTGTTGCATAATGTGCAGCTTCAGCCAGAAGCCATCCGAGTGATGTTTCTTGAGGAATAGCATCAGCCTCTTCTTAATACACTCCTTTCTGTAGAAGTGTTTCTTTGTTGAAGCAGAGGTAAGAGGATGCTATGAATGCTTGAGATTGGGTAGCAATCAATCCAAAATAATGAAGACTTTAAGGGAATTTTGCATGGCATTTAAATTTTACCTATGGATTAACCTCAACTCATCCTTACAATAATCAGGTTGTTCCCATCATCCAGTACATTTGAACCTTGAATAGATAGTAGACTCTAAGTATTAGGGAGTTGACCCTTGCACATGTTTTGAGCAGAGTTCTTTACACAATTTGATTGACTAGTATGTTTTAGTAGTAGAAAAAAAAATCTAAGTTTAAAATATCTCATCAGTAAATTTTCTTTGGTGGTTGGAAGAGTTAGACAATCACTATCTTTCCAACACAGAAAACACACGAAATGTGTGTCATCATGTAAGAATTGGGTGGGGAGATTCACGTCGCGGCATGCTTCTGTGCAAGCAGACACGTAACAGGGACGGGTACCTTGATGGGAGGTGTGTTGGACTACTGAGCATGTTGGATTACAAAACGTTGGACTATCAAGGGACAGCTGTATAACCTTTATCAGATTATGAAAATTCTATATATATTAATGCAATATGCATTGTGTTTGGGAATATATAAAAAATTCAAAAGATATTTACTACACCCATTAAGGTAAGAATTTGACTGATTTGACATATTGCAAAAGAACACANGGTGCTGTTCAAAAGATAAAACAAGGCTTTTAGATATAATTTTATTACATTTATTACAACTGAAGTGTTAAATGATTACTGGAATCATTTCTTTTAGAAGAAAACAAAGGCCGTCTGATGATTTTTCTTTTTGCAATTGTTTTTCCTGTTTCACGTTTCTTGGGAGAAGAATCCTGTTTACTTTCTGAATTGGAAGCAGATTCAACAATAGTGTTTTCAGTGGAATCAACTGTTCCATCTTGTGCTGAAAATAAATTTGTATATTTATAACAAAATTTGAGATTAAATATAGAAGGACACTCAATGATCAATTAAAATATGCAAAATTTTAACAAACATTTTTTATATTCAAAACACTTGTATCACAGAAGAAAATGTGAATAACTAATGTCCATTTCCAATGTGTGTGTGTATACAGTAGAGCATTGATTATCTGACCCCCGATCAACCGTCACATTGGTTAACCGACAGCGTTCTAGTCGGCAAATTCAAATGTCCTGTCCACTAGTACTGTGGCGCTACAATAATTGGCTATGTCTTGGCTACTTTTATATTAATTTTGTTAAATTTTGTGTTTTTTAGCTGGCAACACTGTCTTGACCATGAAAAGGAGGCCAGTATTTAAACAAGGCTTAATTTTCTAATTTTTAACGATACAATAGTGACGATTATTATTTTAAAAAATTATTGTTGTTAGGCTTAACATCGATGAAAATTCAACGCGAAGTAGGTTAATTAACGGCAATATACAAATATACTGATTATATGGGATATACAGTGGTACCTCGGTATACATCTGTTTTAGAATACGTCCAATTCAGAATATGTCCTTTTTTTTTTACGAAACATATTTTGCTCCGTATACGACTTAATTCAATTATACAACAATCTATGTCTATGAACAAGTTGCACTATCGGTGTATTAGACCAGACTAGTTACACTTGCCATCCACCTGTACAGAAAATTTAAATGTCATCTTGTCTGTAATAACATAGGTGGGTTTTATTTGTTTCAGTTATGTTATTACAGACAAGATGACATTTAAATTTTCTGTACTTCTGTATAGGTGGGTGGCAAGTGTAAATTAAATTTTTGGTATAACCAACATTACATTCCAGCCATTTTCTTTGATGTCTGGCTTCAAATCTATATATGTACTTATCTGTGCAACTCAGTCAACAAAAATTGTAAAAATGTTTTTACATTCTAACGAATTTTTCTTTTTTGTTTGCACCAGACACAATTGGGCTGTATTGTCATACAGGCCAATTGTGTCTTGGTTCTAAGAGGAAGCAGTAAGACACCAACAAGAAAAGTATGGTGAAACTGTATACCCAAGTATTCAAAGCCTTGCAACATATTTTAATTAAATATTTTTGCATATTTAATAATTTTTCACTGTAAGGGATATTCCTTAATAAATCTTAAGCTTGTACAACTGGAAAAGATAGATCATCGAAGACTGCATATGTAAATTTCATCCTGAAGAAAAACAAACAGGATTCAGATATTTGTATTTTACAAGAAAATATTTTATTTCTTTTTTAAATGATCACTTTTCACAATTACATAAAGATTTCTTTCTCCCATATAAAAATATGGGTGAAAGGTGTGTTATGTAAATTTTTTTTTATAAAGTTTCATTTTTTAATAAAAAAAAATTGTATTACTAATTTGAAATATATACATAGTGTACATAAATCTAAAATTTATCTTCACAAACAATTTTTGAAATGGGCAAATCAAGCATTTCTGGTTTTAAAGATGTGAAGAATGTTGCCAACGTGCATGAAAGAACATGTGACTATAAAAGAGTTTCCATAATTAACTACTATTGATAATTTTTTCTAATTCTTGTAACAACTCTTCATCTCCTTTTTCCATGTTATCTTCTGGATAGAGTATTAAATCTCCCTCGTCATTATCCAATAACAGTTCGTCTAAGTCGTCATTCATCCCAGAAGCAGAATTATCCGTTTTCTTTTTAGTCTGTTCTTGTAATTTATGTTCAGAAATAATACAACTGTCCTTTGTATTGTGATCGTTGCTAATCGTGCATTTTTGTTCCGGGTGTGATAGTTTTTTCTCGGATTCTTTCCGAAATCCTTTGCCGCTATGACATTTAGAATCTAATTCTAGATATCCTTGATCTAATCTGTGAATACAGAATTTAGATCTAAAATCTTTAAATTTAAAAACATTTACAACATTTGGTTTACCTTTCATCTTTATTTTTCAAATTTGGCACATCCAACGAACTCGAAACGGCAGGGTGTTCGTGGGTTACCGCCACGTTGACAGTATCCTCCACCCCATTCGAATCGTCTTTACTGGACATCATTAATGCAATTTCAGATTTCTCTCTACTGGAATCTGGTGCTGTTCAAAAGATAAAACAAGGCTTTTAGATATAATTTTATTACATTTATTACAACTGAAGTGTTAAATGATTACTGGAATCATTTCTTTTAGAAGAAAACAAAGGCCGTCTGATGATTTTTCTTTTTGCAATTGTTTTTCCTGTTTCACGTTTCTTGGGAGAAGAATCCTGTTTACTTTCTGAATTGGAAGCAGATTCAACAATAGTGTTTTCAGTGGAATCAACTGTTCCATCTTGTGCTGAAAATAAATTTGTATATTTATAACAAAATTTGAGATTAAATATAGAAGGACACTCAATGATCAATTAAAATATGCAAAATTTTAACAAACATTTTTTATATTCAAAACACTTGTATCACAGAAGAAAATGTGAATAACTAATGTCCATTTCCAATGTGTGTGTGTATACAGTAGAGCATTGATTATCTGACCCCCGATCAACCGTCACATTGGTTAACCGACAGCGTTCTAGTCGGCAAATTCAAATGTCCTGTCCACTAGTACTGTGGCGCTACAATAATTGGCTATGTCTTGGCTACTTTTATATTAATTTTGTTAAATTTTGTGTTTTTTAGCTGGCAACACTGTCTTGACCATGAAAAGGAGGCCAGTATTTAAACAAGGCTTAATTTTCTAATTTTTAACGATACAATAGTGACGATTATTATTTTAAAAAATTATTGTTGTTAGGCTTAACATCGATGAAAATTCAACGCGAAGTAGGTTAATTAACGGCAATATACAAATATACTGATTATATGGGATATACAGTGGTACCTCGGTATACATCTGTTTTAGAATACGTCCAATTCAGAATATGTCCTTTTTTTTTTACGAAACATATTTTGCTCGGTATACGACTTAATTCAATTATACAACAATCTATGTCTATGAACAAGTTGCACTATCGGTGTATTAGACCAGACTAGATGTTCACGGTGCCATGGTTTATTACTTTGTTAAATTTCTTTTGATTTTAATTTGTAAGTAAAATTTTATTATTTTTATTAATCATGAATTGCAAAAAAACAAATGAAAAGCAACAGAAAACTAAAAAACAGAAAAAAAAAGACTAGAATTACAAGAAAAAAGAGATTGTTGAGAAATATGAAGGTGGCATGCGTGTTCGAGATTTAACTGTTGTGTACCGTATTCTGAGAATGACAATATCGACATCATGAAAAATAAAGACATTATTAAATTTGCTAACGTCGGGAAAGGAGTTAAATCAATTTCTAAACAGAGATCGAAGACATTATATCATGTTGAGAAATTGCTTTTGCTTTGGATAACTGAAAAACAGTGTGCTGGCGACGGCGTATCAGAACTGACATTAAAAATCACTTGAAATGTGCAAAACATAAGGCAAACCTAGTAGCAACAGAAGCAATTATTTGCGAGAAAGTTAAAAAGATACATGCTGATCTCAGAAGAATCAACCAGGAACTAGCCAGGATAGCAAGGTGTTTAAAGCCAGCCATTTTTTTTTTACATGAGAACGGATTAATCGTTTTGTAAAGTACTATATTATTTTTCCGACTTTCCAACGATTATCAACACTACTGTGTGCCGGAAATAGCCGTTCCCTAACGGGTACTTTACGCGGATTCGCGTTAGTGTGCCAGGCCTGGACTTTAAGCGTGCACCGAATTAAATAATGACAAAGTTTGTCAATAACAAAATCAAATATTTAATTAAACTTTTAGTAATAAACTATATACAGTATTTAGTAAAAATCAAACAATAATTTATTCAATGAAATTCAACAAGAATCAATCCGACAAACTCAAATCAATCTATTTCTAACTTAATTCTATTCCCCTTGGAATTTGACAAAATCAAAGAATTAACTTATAAACAATAATTCTTATAAATTAAAGATCCTAATCGTCACCTCAATATACTAGGAACCTATTTCCTCAAACTCTCAAGACTTTCTATAATCGTCGATCCACAAATCGAATAACTTCAAAATCACCTTGGAACTATTTGATCCTATCGGACATCTCTCTCGTTCACTGCTACGAAGCTCACCAAAGCTCGTTGCTATCAGGAATTCACCTCGTTCGTTTTCACTTGAGTTAGAGGCTTTATAGCGTGAGGTGACGTCACAATTCTGAATGAGATCACTCTCCTCATTTACATACTTATCTGTAACATTAAATTTTTCTCGTTTATCTGGCAGATTATTTTCCGACAATACTTTGCTAACCTTTTACATTATTCTTTTTAACAATTATCGGGATGCTTTATTCTTTTAAGGTTTAGCGATTCCTAACTGGGTTGTGGGGTCTTCCCCCCCTTTTCCTCGGTGCGGACTTACTTTTTTCCGCTTGGGAAGCGCAAGTGTGCGCGAGTTTTTCTACGGCGCTTTTCTTTCGTTGGTGAGTTGGTTTTTCTTCTATTTTTAAGTTACTAAGGTGAATGGTGAGGAAACCTTCGTCTTAACTAAACATAAGCCCCAAACAAAATATAATGAAAGCAAAATAAAAATAAAGCTCAGACTTGGTTCCTTACAGTTTTTACATTACTTCTTATGGGAAAGGTTGGTTTGGTATACGTCCTATTTGGTATAAGTTCAAACATCAGGAACGGATTAAGGTCGTATACCGAGGTTCCACTGTATATTTTTAATTGTAAAGGGACTGTCACCTGTGGAGAATAGTTTGTACCTGGTGATTGGACATGGTGAGTAAAGAAGATATTTTTATTATCCGTTTGTGTTTTTATGTTTTTAATATTGTATTTCTGCCAGCCCTATTTTACAAAGTTAACAATACTGTTTACACTTAATGTAAGTAATAGAAGAATTACNCTATTTGGTATAAGTTCAAACATCAGGAACGGATTAAGGTCGTATACCGAGGTTCCACTGTACATTTTTAATTGTAAAGGGACTGTCACCTGTGGAGAATAGCTTGTACCTGGTGATTGGACATGGTGAGTAAAGAAGATATTTTTATTATCCATTTGTGTTTTTATGTTTTTAATATTGTATTTCTGCCAGCTCTATTTTACAAAGTTAACAATACTGTTTACACTTAATGTAAGTAATAGAAGAATTACTACTATAAAAATTGAATGGTTAACACTACTGCTTTTTTGCTTGTTGCCATGTAAAAACTCAAAACAAAATTCACTCAATATCCCATTCTCCTGTGAATGTTAAAAAGCATAACTTGAATGTGATTTTGATTTAACTTCAATTTTAAGGAAAAAATTTTTAACATATAATTTAGACTTCAATTTACATTGTTCAATTTTGTTGTTTTTCTGAAGCAAAGCAGTTTGAATAACTAAAAATGAACATATAATAATCAGAGTAAATGTTAAAATGAGATTCCACTGTAAATATATTATACAGTACAATTGTAAAGTTGCTCTGCAATGGGCTATGCCCATGTGGGTTGGTTAATTATTGATGTCATTCAACACCTTAAACATTGTTTGAGTAAAACTGCCTCAGTTCTACCTTATTCTCATCATGCTAAGTATAGAGAATGGAGGATAATATTTCCAGCACCTCATGCAGGGGTTGCTCTGAAAAATTTAAAAATATTGCCACTATTTTGCCAGTTTTAAATTATTTATTGCCACCAGTTTTACTTACTGATTAATGCAGGTGCTGGTAGCCTTATCAGTTTGGTGTCTGAAAAGCAAAAGTAACACATTAAGGAGAGGGCCAGAAGTTCGTCTCTGATTCAAACAAAACTTGGTAAGCACATAGCCTTAAACACAAACAGCTCTTGTACAGTACAAATAATAGGACCCATTTCTCAAGTGTGTCCAAAAAATGGGCCTCTGAAAATTTAGCGTTTAGCTTACAAATATGGAAGTTTCAGTTCCTGAAGGAGATAGCCAAGTGAATAAGAGATGTTAGGTACCAGAAGTTTGTGTTCAAGACTATGTGCTCACCAACTTTTATTCAAATTGGAAACCTGAACATCTGGCCTTCTTGTTAGCAATAGGAATAATTTTTGAATAATTTTTTAATTAATAATTCCAATAACACATTTCATAACAATACTTAGATTTTGAGGTGACAGAACCTGTCAAAATTTTTATTTTAGTCAAGTGAAAAAAAAAAGGTCACCCCAAAAAATTCCCCAAATTTTCTGTCAGTCAATAAAAAAATCCCCAATCTGGACATGCTGGGTGGCATTGCACAAAACTGCCTTCAGCTTTCAATGTCACTTCCTATTTTCCTGTCTGAACTTGCCACGTGATGTCGACATTGCTAGGTATGTGGTACACAGTACTCCCATTACACAGAAGCTTGACATTTTGCTTTTTTTGCTGAAGTGTGATTTGTGATTCAATTTCATGCTGAATGTGGAAACAAAGTGGACTAGGGTTTTATCACCAGGATTATATCTCTATCACAACTTTAATAAAAATAGTGCCAAATGGCAGTTTTGGCACTGTAGCGCAACTCCTGCTCATGTAATAATGTCAAAAATGAATTTCCTGTGTGAATCTGAGGAACCACGTATGAGTGAATATCTCAAAACTGAGTGCAAATCAAATGTGAGTTTATTAAAATCCATGGTTACTCTTTTGACATAGAACCTGTGTGTGATGTCATTACTTCATTCCTGGAAGTTCCTCTCATTCCCCGCCCACAGTGGAAGTGACTTTATGATTACACTGTATAACAAATTTAATATTTAATTTTAACATATCACTTAAACCTCCCATCAAGCAATTCTCTTACATGTAAAAATCTTAAATATTTATTGAACCAAAATGATTTTCTAATTTATTTATTTGTAATAATAATGAAAATTAAAATTATTGCAATTATTGCATAATTCTAATTTATTTTAGTTAAAAGAATGAGAAAGACTGTTTAGAAATGTATTTGATTTTCATTTCTTAATATATTAAAAAATTTTATAATGTCTGCTTCTCTTATCAAATCATTAATTTTAAATAATATACTATTATATCATATAAAATATTTAACCCAACTAAAAACTTTACAAAATTCTTACAATTATGATGGCAAGTAAAAAACTATAAAACCAATCTTTATATAAATGTGATTGTAATGACTCCCATTAGAAGACTCATATTTTGTCAGAAGGTCAACTTGCTTTTATAAGAATTTTGTGAACATAAATCTTAAAATATTCTAACACTTATATACTTACTTGGAATTAACTTACGATTTTGTTTTAGCCTAAGAATTCTCTTCTTTGGAACAGTGTTTTCATTATCTAAAGAAAAGTCAATAAAATTATTTTCAATTTATAATTACTTGATCAACTTATCATAAAATTGTTATTTTGACTTACTTTGTGCAACATTTGAATTGTGTTTTCGTTTGAGACGATTCCTTAAATCTTGTGAATCAAATGTTTGAACTGAAACTAAGAGAAAAACAGGATTAAATTTTTTAAAATCCACATATTTATAGTAGAATTATTTTTTATACTAATTTCATATGTTGAAATAACAGAGATTTACTATTAATCATTTGTTCCAGTTTTTGGTGAGAGTGTATTTAATCATTTGTTAATTTTGCTAATTGCTCCTCCACTAATGAATTGTCACTTAATTTAATTCTACAATAACTGGAGTAATTTATAAAATAATCATTCTACTGGAAAAACTTATTTATTGCTTTTTAAATTAAAAATTATTAAATTATGTAAAAATGGTGTTTAAACAAATTTTAACTAATATGATTACCATATTTTATGGACTATAAGATGCACTTAATTTTTAATTTTTAAAAAAATAACATTTTTACCATTTTTATTGCCTAAATTCAATCCTTTTATACGGATTGAAGCAAACACTGATCCACCATTCAACACTTAGTAGCGTTATCGGACATCCACTGATCACACGATGATCGCTGGCCAATCCGCGGTCATGGATTCAGAACCACCGGTCGTCTCGTGATCCAAGTTTCTATGGTGACAACCATTACTCGTTTGAAAAGAGAAAAAGCGCGAGAATCGCAAGTCCAGACAATTCTATCACGACACCTCGCAACTCATGTTCGTCGCATCGGTGCACTGCTGCTGCCAGTTGAATTCAATGTTACCAGATAGAGATAGGTTTCCCGCAGCATCAAATATATGGCCAATTTTAAGACATGAGAATTTTAAATCAAACACCGGACATTTTTACATTAATTTCGAGTATAAGACACACCTGAATTTTGAAGGCAATTTTTCGAAGAAAAAAGTGTCTTATAGTCCGTAAAATACGGTAATTATATCAACTGTAGCCAACCATGGGTATATATTCCATGTTCCATTAATCCAAAATGATCAATTTCAAACTTCCCATAATTTTGTTCATACTAATTGATAATGAAGACAATCAAACAAGCAACTGAAACTTCAGTGAAATCTTTTTGTAACAAAATTCTTATAGAATAAAACATACCTTTTAAAGACTCGTCTGCTGAAACAGATATATTTCCACTTGCAACAGTCTGATCATCTGATAAGAAAGTTTTTAAAATTTATTCAAGTTATTTCAAGTAACTGGTACAAGTAGAAAAGGTAATGCTTTTACCTGTATTGTATATATGGGATGATTCCCTATGCAACAACTTCTCCAGTCTGATTTGTTCTAAAGTTTTTATTCCAAGATCATTATCTTGTTTGGCTACATCTACAAATATATAACAATTTTATTTTTACTAATGATGATTAAGAATCAACTAATGCTTAAGAGTAAATTTAGTTTTCCATTATATATTAGGGAAAATCCACATTATTAATTTTTAATTCAAATAATTTTCCTAGAGTTTTATCTATCTACAATACAGACAAATTTAAATATTTTTAATTATACAGCTAGAGATAAAGTTTTTGAAAAAATATAAAGGAAGAAATTTGGGTTGCAGCTGGATGAGGACACAGATGTGAAATGAAAATGGCTGTCCCCAGTTTGATTCCAAGGTTTGAGAAAATGTGCAGTGATCAACAGGATCATTCATTCCACTAATTATAATTAATCGAATTTGTTCAATTATATTTTTTTCTTACCTTAAATACATGTTTTATTTATTTTTTTTACTTAACGTCCCAACTCTTTAATTAAAAAGATATTGGCTATTTCCCTATTTTGCAAATTGCGCTTGTTAGAATTTGACATAGAACACCTTGAGAAAATCTGAATTTAGCAAGGATGCCAAGAATCAAAAAAGTTTCAGAACCACTGTCCTAATGTAATATTGTATTCTCTGTTTAGAAGCTGAGTTTAAAACTATTTCATGTTTTGTTTGTGTAAAATCAAATCGAAATGTCTGCAGATAAAATGCATAACAGGCATATTATGTACCATATGTTTTTTAAGATTCATAAAGGACATAATGCTACACAAACAGTAAAAAATACTCTTAGTGTGTATGGGGAAAATGCTCCTAAACTTCAGACTTATCAAATGTGGTTTTGAAAGTTTCATTCAGGAAACTTTGAACTAAAGGATGCAAAACATACAGGGCATCCAAAAACTGTTGAAGAGAAATTTCATGAAAAAATTGATAAAAATCAACTTCTTGTGAACTTGCAAAAAATGTTAATGTATCACCAACATGATGATCTGACAAACTGGAAAATTTTGTCTGACAGAGGTAGGGAGCATTAAGATTTCATTTTTTTAAATTTATAATCCATTTTTATCATAAAAAAACTTTTTATGAATGACAAAATTAAAATAAAAATATTTGTTATTAACTGAAAATTTTGTTCTAGGCGATTGTGATTGTTTGGACAAGTACTGATGTACCACTGTATTTGATTAATGTGATTTTCATATATGCAGTGGCATCAAGAAATTAATTAATCATGTTAATCAAAGGATACCTGTATAGTGTTCAAATAACATAACTGCTAATAGAAAATATGTAATATTAATCATTACAATATAAATAATTGGTAGACAATTATTAATATTTTATGATGTATACAATTAAAATATACAGTACTATAAATGTCTATTCTTACTTAGAAAAGATATATGTTTTAGGTAAGATTAACTATATCTGTTCACAATTTATTGATACACTATATTCAAATTTTAATTTCAATAAATGACATAAATAGTAAATTATCAATGTCAGAAAAACTTAAGTAAATGTAAACTACAAACATACTTTTAGAACTTTTGGAAGTAATTTTCTTCACTGGTGTTTGATTATTATTAGTAATCTGTCGCAAACTCTGACAATTAACTGGAGAACTGAATTTCACTGGTATACTAACTGTACTTTCGGTATCAGATTCTGAAATAATTTAATAAAATTGGTAAAGCTTTTACTCACTAAAACTTAATGAAAAAATTTGCATACCTTCATCAATACTAACAACAACAGGTTCAATTACTTGTGAAATAGAATTATTATCAGTTAACTCAGCATCATTTGACAATAACAGTTCTGTTGATTTCACTTCTTTTATTTCTGGTGCCATATTTTCTGGTTTGTCTGCGACTGGTAGTATTACTAAAAATTTTAAAGTTTTCAACATAAGCATTAAATTTTTCAATATAAATACATCTTAACATACTATTAATATTTTGGTACATAACCTAATAATTTAATTTTCTAAAATAATTTTGCTATGTTCACTTAAAAATTGAAAATATAATAATCTTAAAACAAAAAAAAAAAATCTTTACTTACATATATTGGTTTATTAATTTGTTGTAAATTACTATTTCTCAATCTTTTAAAATGTTCCTCCCTGATTACTACTATTACATTTACATTTTACTAAGCTATGTTTAATTTGGTTTTTTACAAAAAGAAGTACATAAATATGTAATATCTTACCTGAATAATGAATATAATATTGTTAAGTACCCTTCTTAACTTAATTATTAAATGTAGAAGAATATTTTTGATAAAAATAATAAAGGAAAATTAAGTACTTCATTTCAAATTACTTATTTCCCATATTTATAAAATATGACATTATTCATTTTTAATAGCCTGGTTTATTCAATTTTGATGTCAAGATTTTACTTTCCTGACTCCTGTTATAAAGTATGATGATATGTTAAAAATGACCTTCCCAAGAATTTTTACAGTTTTGGAGTCAGGGGACCTTTAAATGTCTAGAAATGCAAAAAAAGTTGGGGATTTTATATATATACAGTTTAACCTGCTTATAACGTCATCCATGGAACCAGCAATTTTTTGACGTTATAACAGAGTGTCGTTATCTGCGGGGTCATAATTTCAGTCCCATAAAAGTATCAGGTCTGTTTAAGAATCTATTATAAAATTCATCTAATTTAATATCGTATGTATAAAATTGCAAACTAAATGTTTAAATCAACTTTATTTACATTATTATGTCTAAATTTACAACGATGTAATTAAAAATTTCAAAAATTACCTTTTATAAGAAATTTTTATATGTCAAGTTTCGATAATGGCGGCACTTTCGGTTTTGAGAATAATGTGGAATCAAAAGGCAACAAAAAGTTAAATTAAGCAAGAAATGAGAAAATTATCATCCAGGTGTTATTAACGCCTGGATGATAATTTTCTCGTTTCTTGCTTATCTATCAATAGACATGAAGTCCAATATCTTTCACTTTTAGGTTAAATTAATGTATATCAATTAAAAAGAAACAATAAAAATATTCACTTAAAAAAAGTCAGTTATTTTAGATTGTAGGCATTTTTCACCTAAAAATTGTTTATCAATGTCATTTTCTAAGTCGTAGATTTTGTTCATTATTTCCGATGAAGTTTTACGAGACCTGTAGAATTTGCTAAACCAAAGTCTCTGCATACATCTGCCTTTTTTCTTCCACTTTCAACTGCTTTAATTATTTCTACTTTGCAGTCTAACGTTAATGCTTTCCTTTTTAAGCTAGCCATTTTACCTGATTTGATGCTAAACTACAACACAAGTATGAGAGCTATGCAGACTAACCCACTGTCACATCATTTAAAGGGTGGCGCATCTCACCCCACCAAATCAGGTGGTGACAGTAACACCCACAATCTGGGAGTCCCTAGGGTCAGAGTCCTAGGATTCTGACCCTAGGACTGAATACGTAGTATTTTCTTTGATAAATAAAATTTATAATTTAATTTTGTAAATTTGAGAGTGCTTCAAATATGATGTTAAAACAGGGTTTTATGTTGTTACAAGCGGGTTTTTTAACATTATCTAGTATAGTAAAATCGTGGGACTGATAAAAAAATTTGACGTTATATTAGAGTTGTCGTTACATCCAATGTCGTTATAATCGGGTTAAACTGTATATATATATGGGTGTTAGCATCTGTGCACACAGAAAAGCACAATTTTGTTCACCCTCTTTGAAGCTTAATAACTCAATAACTCCTGTGCTTTTTGTCAAAATTTTCTGGGGAGGTTTGTGTATTAGGAAACTGATGCTATTAAATTTTGGTGGTTAAAGGTCAATGAGGTGGAAGAGAAAGTGGGTTTTGAGTTGTATATCTAGTAGGGTCAGACATAATGATGATTTTACTTGTTATTAGCATTTACAATTTTTTATAAAACCTGTAGAAGAACAATTTTCAAAATCTGGTATTTGATTTAGTTAGTGTATTTAGTTGTTTTTACTTTTTTAATACAATATTTTGTTAAATTTCAAATTTTTCATCCTTTTTAATTTCAGTAAAATGCTAAAATAGCTTTCATTTCAGCTCAATAAAAATAACTTGTTTGCTTAATGTTTTTATTGGAGCTGAAACAAAAGCTAATGTAAAGTATTATAATTAATTATATAATTATAATTAAATTTTGTAACTGTAATTAATTAATTACAGTTACAATTACAGATAGTTACAAAATTTAAGGAAAATTCTTAAAAGTAGACAATACATACACTTACTGGTTACTTACTTTAACTTACTGGTCCTGGCAATTTTTATCAAATGTATTTATTAATTTTTAATTATGCCATCACCAGAGGGATGTTTTTAATGTTTTACATATTGAGACAGATGAGTAGCCTCAAATAAAAGCTTAACTTCACCATGGAACTGTTGATTTCCTCACGTGCATGCAAAGGGACACAGTTAGAAGACATTTATGTATTGTCTACTTTTAAGAATTTTTCTTAAATTTTGTAACTGTATTTAAAGTATTATACTATCATATAAATCAAAACAAGGAATGAAATCTAGTTATAAACTGCTACTATATCCTTCTCTCTTTATAGTGATACAGATAAGAAAACATAAATGAATAATTTCTTTTACTGAATTATTATGCAATTTTGCATAATTGCCTATGCAATTTTTTAAAGTAATGTTAGTTAAATCTTGAAAAATTATAAGAAAGCTAATTAGTATACTTACAATTTGCAGAATTCTCCCCCCATTGGGCATTTATCTGATTTCGAGGTTTAGTGTGGAAAAAAACACAATGTGGTTTACGACAACCACCAGGTTGATTTTCCCAATAGCATGGAATTTCATGGCGATATTTCTAAAATGACAGGGAGATAAAAAGTTAAAAAATGAATTATTTTAATGCTGAAGTTAAAGAATTAACTAAATTTATACTTAAATATAGATGCTCCTCTACTTATGAACAGGTTAGGTTCAGGTGAAGAACAGGTGAGGTTTTGTCATAAGTAGAAAATTGATCTAGAAATTACATTTGTACACAGAATAACCATGTATTGTTAATGTTTGATCCTTTAATGTACTTAATAGAATACATTACACTTGTTTACCTGCTCTCTATTGCTTAGTAGTAGGTGCTTTGAACATACTTTTTTCACATAATGCACTTAGTTTTATCATGTCAAGTTTAGTTTCCATGGTCATAGAACCTACTTCTTACATTCATCACCATTGTTAGATTTACTGCTATGTTTTGGACATATTTTTGAAGCACTAATGGTAATGTTTATAAAAATTGCAAACAATAGAAAAATTACCATTACTCCAGCATTACCAACTTCAATGTCACCTCATCAGTGGTGATGGAATGTCAGAATTCACACAAAAATAAGAAATGACAATTACACAATAGAAATAAATCCACATTAATTATAATTATTTATTACTGGCAAAAGGCTGACTTTGATGCCACCCCAAGACCAGCAAGAGAAGGTTAGAATCCACATGAAATTTAAATTTTAAATGTATGGTCAAATTGTTCATAAATATGAAAGTTTGTAAATTGAATGTTCATAAGTAGGGGAAGCTGTATTCTCAAATATTTATATACTTACATTATTCACATAACTGAATATTCTCAAAATTAACACTAAATATGTAGCCTAACTATTTGTGCTAAATTATTCAGTGAGGAAGAATGTCTGTTTGTTTTTAATATACAGTGGTACCTTAACTTACAAGTTCATTGAATGAACTTGTAACATCATTGAATGAACATCATGGAATGAGTTCCATCATTCCATGATGGAACTCATAACTCAAATTACTCATATGTCAAACCAATATTCCCCATTGAAATGAATTGAAATACCATTAATCTGTTCTGGACACTCCCAAAACACCTGCAATTTTTTATTATATGTTTCTAAATAAGAAAAATGTACTTATAAATAATGAATATTGTATAAAAACACAGTAGAATGTACTGCAATAAACTGATTTCCTATTCGATGTTGAAATTTTTATTTGTTGCCTGTGACACCATGTTGAATTTTCATCAATGTTAAGCCTAAAAATTTTTTTTTCTTATTTTTAAATAATAATCGTGTTTACTGTATCCTAAAAAATTATTTTTTTATGTTTCACAAACAAAATAAATATATTGAATAATATAGAAATAAAAAGAAATTATATTTTAAAAGTTTGTTTTAATATAAAAATCATGATGCATAGCGACATCTAGTATCAAAAATGTTCTTATGTAAACAAGAAAATATTCAGGATCACCCACGCAGGTCAATGAAGTCAACACAAATATTTTTGGGAAGAACTTAGGACAGGTTAAAGAAAGATAAGATGGAAAATTTCAGAAATGAGAGATGTTGGTGCTGCACACAACAGAGAAGAGAACTAATGCCTACGTCAATTGATCACATGTTTTTCTACAAACTACTAGCCTGTCAGACATTGGAAGAGTAACACAAATGACGAAATTACAGCAGTTTTCTGTCTTCTTTTTCTTAATCTATGGTTTGCTGTGGCGTTCGCTGTACCAACTAGCAGTAGGGTATCTGAAGCTGACTCGTAATATGAACTTTAGCTCTCAACTCAAAGCAAAAAAATCGACAAGAGACAGTTTGTATCTTGAAAAATCTCTTAAGTTGGGACACTCATAAGTCAAGGTACCACTGTAGTAGTTAAAAAATTGAGACATTTAAATAGCTACTAAAATAACTAATAACAAAATAACTTATTATTAGAATTTTAACTTCAATTATTTTAGATAAGTTATGTTAATAGAGCAGATTACAATTACATAAAAAATTTTCAATTTAAAAGTTTGAATTAACATATAGTAACAAAAAACTTTAAAAAGTCTGCAAATATAAACATCTTTACAAAACCTGATACACTACAATAAAGCTACAACAATGCCATATGACATCAGGCTAGATATTGGCTATAATATTTATATTAAATTACTGATAAATTTGACCAAAGAGGGAGGCATTAGGCACCATCTTGTACTAAATTTAATAATTAAATTATAATTATTTCTATCTGGAGGTCTGGGTAGTGTAATCAGCAATGCATTCACATGACAAGCGGGAGTTACAGGTACAAGTCCCACTCTGGGCAGATTCTTTACTTCCAGTATAATCTAAAATAATTTTATTAAATTAGAATTATTAATTTGTTCTTTAAAATTGTGTCCTGTTTTATATTTGTGGCATAGTAAACACTAGTATTGTGATTTATTCCAAAGACACATGGCAAATTTTCCATCAAATTCCTTTATTAGTTGAGTCGATACGGTACATTGTTTTGTACTTGTTTCGTGCTTTGCCCCTCTTCAGTCAACTTTTGGTTACACTTTGTATAATTTAAAAACATGTAAAATCTGCTTTAATCTTTTGTAAATAAACTAGTATATATTACAAATTAAAAGGTTAAAATCTTCTCCTTTAGGCATATTTTGATACAACACAACTATAAAAATTTTTAACTGTTTCCACCCTCCTTTTTACCATAAAAAAGGGACAGAAACAGCTAAAAATGTTTACAATTGTGTTGTATCAAAATATGCCTAAAGAAGAAGATTTTAACCTTTTAATTTGTAATATATACTAGTTTATTTACAAAAGGTTAAAGCAGATTTTACATGTTTTTAAATTATACAAAGTGTAACCAAAAGTTGACTGAAGAGGGGCAAAGCACGAAACGAGTACAAAACAATGTACCGTATCGACTCAACTAATAAAGGAATTTGATGGAAAATTTGCCATGTGTCTTTGGAATAAAACACAATACTAGTGTTTACTACACCACAAATGTAATTATTAAATTTAATACGAGATGGTGCCTAATGTCTCACTCTTTGGTCAAATTTATCAGTAATTTATAATTGTTATAGCTGATATTTAGCCTAATGTCATATGGCAGTTGTAGCTTTAAAAAGTCTGTTTACATTTTATGAAAATAGAAACAAAATGTGTGTGCTATTTTTTTCTTGTAGTGTTTAATTTCAAAACAAAAGAAGAAACAAATTGCTGTGTATACGTTATTACAAAAAATACTACTGTACTAGCCCAAATATAACGCAACCCCGAATTTAACGCAACTCTGAAATTTTCATAAAGATATTTAGAAAAAAAATAATACTCATAAAAGAATTCAAAGAAAGTAAAATTCAATCAGATAAGCATTTATTTAGGTAATTATAGCTAATAACACAGGTTACATTCATGTCAATAAAATTAAGTAATGTAAAACAAAATTAATATTATGTAAGTAACAACAAAAAACGGAAATGTTTATTCAGAATCTGAACTGTTTTCAGAATGAGAACTCATTGATGTCACATCAGTATCATCAGTATTTTCATTCACACTTTCAGTCTCCCACAAAATGTCATCTTCCGTCCCATTTAAATCATTGGAAATGCAGCATTTCTTGAAACCTTTAACTATCGATTCAGGTTCGATCTTCTGCCAGACAGTCGCAATCCATTCTCCTAAAAGAGAGACTGAGGGTTTTTTATTTTTCCTGAAGATGTCAATGGATGATTGCCCGATAATAGCCAATTGTTGTATCCTTTTCGAAAATTCTCTTTAAATGGTTTATTAACCACCATATCCAAGACTTGCAACTGAGATTACAAGATCGGAATTCAATGCCTCAATTTTTTCCTTAACACTTGTCGTAAGGTGGCCTCGAAATGCATCAAGGACTAGCATGAAGCGGGAGTTTCTCAGAGAACCTGGCCGTTTCCCCCATATCACATTCAACCAGTCTAATACCAACTCCTCTGTCATCCAACCCTTTTCTTGGACCCGAAAAACAATTCCTGGACACAGCTTTTCTTTGGGCATTATTTTATGTTTCAATATAACGTAAGATCGAAGCTTTTGTCCGTCAGCAGTAACAACAAGCATAACAGTAATTCTGGACTTTTCATAACCAGCTGACTTCAATAAGACCGTTTTTTCACCTTTCTTATTTACTGTGAGGTCAGAAGGCATGTCAAAATAGATTGGTGTTTGGTCTGCATTTCCCATATTTCCAAGACTGTAGTTGTGCTTTTTGTGTAATGATATAACATGGTGCTGATAAGCCAACAATTTTTCATTAAAGTCGTCAGGAAGTTTTTGCGCGAGAGTTGTCTGCCGTTGTAGTGATAAACTGTTCCTTTTCATCATTCTTCTACACCAATCCATACTTGCCTTAAAGTCCTTTCTAGGAATGTTTAAATTAGCAGCCTCTTCTAATGCTTTAAATCTTATGACTTCACTGGATATTGGGCACCCTTCATTTCACTTTTCTATTAAGAATTTTAACACTTGCTGCTCAACTTCATTAAACCTTCCTTTTTTAGGTCCACTAAAAGATTTTCTTGAAGAATTTGCATTCTTATATTTCCTTAAATCTTTTCTCCATAGGCGGATGTTTACTTCTGGAATTTCCGTATTTCCTTGAAGCCCTCAAGTTATTCATTCTTTCTGCCTCGTTTGCAACCATAATTTTAAAATTCATATCGTAGGTTCTCCTGGTACCTTTATTTATTTGACTCTTTGATGAGCCTTTTTTCTCAACACTACCTTTATTACTCACACTCATTTTTTATGTATACTAATATTATAAAGAGGTAATGTTTATAAGTAAGTAAGTAAGTATTAATAATAAAACACACCTTTAATAATCCAGCTAATAAAAATTAATTAATTAATTATTAAAGGTGTGTTTTATTATTAGTATATTTATCCAGTTCGTTTATTATATAAGTAAGTAAGTAAGTAAGTAAGTAAGTAAGTAAGTAAGTATGTATGTATGTATGTATGTATGTATGTATGTATGTATGCAGCAGGTAATCTCCAAAACTACTCATCCGATTTCAAAAATTCTTTCACCAATATTTAGAACGGAACCTCAGGGTGGACATAGGCTGTATATTATTCCGTTAAACATTCATATAAATTAAAATATATAATCTAGGTTAAGGCTTTTATGTCCAACAGATGGCGCTACGAGTATGATGCCCTAAGTTTGCTTTTCTGTGAAAATGAACTAAAGCAGATCATCTTCTATCTATCTATATAAATAAAATTGTAATGTTCGTTTGTTCCTACCGATTCCTTTGAAATTTTGACACAATGCTGCATTCGAATACGCATGTGTTTTTATATAATATACATGTCGAAATTTCCCCCACTGAAGAGAGATGGTTAAAATTAAGGCTTACTGTAAAGAACTCTGCTTCTATTTATACTATTTTAGATGCGTTTTTTTGCATTTTAATAGGGTACGTCAACAGAATGTACACTAAAAAGAAATTTTTTGAAAAATCCCCCCCACAGGGAAGTGTTATAAATTTATAATAGATACATTTAGAGCCACAACAACGCCTGGCGGGGTCTGCTAGTGGGCAATAAAGAAAAAAGTAAAGTAACTGTCGCTAGTCACTAGAGCAAAAAAACAAATGAAACAAAACAGTTGTGTGAGATGTTAACAATCAGAGACATAGCCTTACTATAGTAGCGCTATGCAAACAAAAGCGCAGGCCTACTAACTAGATCACATGGTTGTTTTGAAGTGGTCGGTCAAGCTAGAAATTGGTCGGACGTTCAGTCGCGTTTCAACCTCTGTAGGAAAATGTCCTTGTTTATATTACATTCCATTGCTTAAACCCCAAATTTAGCACGAGTCGATTTTTTAATGAAAAATATCACGTTATATTCGGGCTAATATGGTATATTTTTTGTAATAAAGTAAATGAAAGAGTTCCTTAACCAGGTCTTGCACTCTTAGTTTCAAGTCTAAAATCTCATTATAGAATGTTTACTCCTAGGAGGAAAAAACATTTAATTTCAACTAAATCTTGGGAGACTTTATTTTAGCACTATTATTCTTGTTATTTTTTATTGAGTTGTGCTATTTGCTTAAATGTTTGTCATTAACCTTTTTATTTTAATAATAGATAAGATGATGTTTTGAACAAATTTATCATTTCATTTGAATACGCAAATTAAATATTTTAACTGAATGAAAATGACAAATAAAAGAATAAAGTGAAACTGTATTGATGTTTAAAAGTCAGAATAAATTGAAAAAAAAAAAATTATATATATATATCAGGTTGTAATAAATTCTGTCCAAAAATATTGAAAATTTTATTGAATTTTTTACAAAACATTTATTTTTCAATCATTGACATATTATTCCTTATTAGATATAACCTCACACTAACTTTCAAACAATATTTTGATACCTTGTTGGAAAAATTTTCTTGGCTTAGAATTAAAACAAGCCAACTCTGCATTTTTGAGATCTTTCTGAGAATTGAAGTTCTCTCCATCAACATAATTTTTTAAGTTCAAAAATAAATGTAATCTGAAAAAGCAAAGTCTGGTGAATATGGGGATATATCATTTTTTCCCAGCCAAATTTTTAAATGTTTTAAAGATAATAGCCATGCGTGGATGGCCTTATCTTGCTGAAACAGAGCGCATTGCCTATTGACCAGTACTGGACATTTTTCTCTCAGAGCTTTCATCAAACAGTCTAATTGGTGAAAATAAATCAGCTTTGACCAACAACTCAATATGTTGAGTTGTTGGTCATACTTGGATATCCCACCAAACACTGAATAATGTCTTCATTAGATGAAGGCTAGTTTACGGCTGAGGTGCCACTTTATCTCAGAGACTGAGTCAAAAAATATAAGAATGAATACAATATAAAGAATACAGAAATGGATACGCTATAAGAATATTAAATATCATCATTGATGATGATACTTTTCTTATATTATATCCATTTTTCATCTCCAGTAAAAATCTGATCCAAAAATGGAGCTTGGAGATAACAATGAAATTCAATGAAGTACAATGGAGTACAATGAAATTCACACAGTCACATGATATTCAAGATGTGATGGTGATAGAGCATGCAGCATCCATTTTCTCAGCTGTTTCAAATGCTGTTGAATGGTCATATAACGTATGTCCAGTTCTTGTACAAGTTCTTGTTGAGGTGTTTATTTTTCACTAGTTTTCAGTTCATTGGACCAAATTTATGTTACAACCTGATATAACTAAAATATACATCATTTATAATTGTTATTAAAAATCATTTTTATAACTTTTTAAATTACTCACTCTGTTCTCCATGTGACGAAATTTGCAATTTGTACGAGAACAATAGCCCTCTCTCCAAGACGTACATACTGTTTCTGTACCTAATGCTGCTTCACAGTGACGAAAAGGGCATTTATTTCCCTAAAGCACACGAGAGAGCAAAATTATATTAAATTAATATTCATAAAATATATAAATCTCATTCTCTTATTTGCTTAATAATGTATTTTAAAATAATATTGAAAAATATTTAATTTTTCTTAAAAATTATATCTCTTCAACTATATTTCTTATAAAAGTTTGTCATTATGCTAAAGAATTACTGTTGAAAGTACATTCTGATTATAACCCACATCAATTATAAGTATTATCCAAAAATTTCACTACAAACATATTACAATGTACAGTACATACATACCTGTATCTAAAACACAATTGTTATTAAATTCTATACAACATTGTCTACAGTAAGATCCAGTAAAATAAAAAAAAATTGGAGTATACATTCTCTAAAAATAATTTTGGAAAAGTTCTTTGAGAAACATTATTATTATTATTATAAATTGACTTCACACAGAACAGATTCATAATCAGAACCCATAGTCTGATTATTGAAGATTGTATAACTTTGTTTTTAGTGTATCAACTACAAGATACTTTCTAGTTTAACAATCATTAATTTGTAGCAATTACAGTTAAGTAATTATGTATGCCTAAATAAGATTATATTTCCAAAATAAATTCAACATTAAAGTTTGCATTTTTCTCATTGAGAAATTATTTTTAAGTATTGTATACATGTAGAATTTATTNCAGGTTGTAATAAATTCTGTCCAAAAATATTGAAAATTTTATTGAATTTTTTACAAAACATTTATTTTTCAATCATTGACATATTATTCCTTATTAGATATAACCTCACACTAACTTTCAAACAATATTTTGATACCTTGTTGGAAAAATTTTCTTGGCTTAGAATTAAAACAAGCCAACTCTGCATTTTTTAGATCTTTCTGAGAATTGAAGTTCTCTCCATCAACATAATTTTTTAAGTTCAAAAATAAATGTAATCTGAAAAAGCAAAGTCTGGTGAATATGGGGATATATCATTTTTTCCCAGCCAAATTTTTAAATGTTTTAAAGATAATAGCCATGCGTGGATGGCCTTATCTTGCTGAAACAGAGCGCATTGCCTATTGACCAGTACTGGACATTTTTCTCTCAGAGCTTTCATCAAACAGTCTAATTGGTGAAAATAAATCAGCTTTGACCAACAACTCAATATGTTGAGTTGTTGGTCATACTTGGATATCCCACCAAACACTGAATAATGTCTTCATTAGATGAAGGCTAGTTTACGGCTGAGGTGCCACTTTATCTCAGAGACTGAGTCAAAAAATATAAGAATGAATACAATATAAAGAATACAGAAATGGATACGCTATAAGAATATTAAATATCATCATTGATGATGATACTTTTCTTATATTATATCCATTTTTCATCTCCAGTAAAAATCTGATCCAAAAATGGAGCTTGGAGATAACAATGAAATTCAATGAAGTACAATGGAGTACAATGAAATTCACACAGTCACATGATATTCAAGATGTGATGGTGATAGAGCATGCAGCATCCATTTTCTCAGCTGTTTCAAATGCTGTTGAATGGTCATATAACGTATGTCCAGTTCTTGTACAAGTTCTTGTTGAGGTGTTTATTTTTCACTAGTTTTCAGTTCATTGGACCAAATTTATGTTACAACCTGATATAACTAAAATATACATCATTTATAATTGTTATTAAAAATCATTTTTATAACTTTTTAAATTACTCACTCTGTTCTCCATGTGACGAAATTTGCAATTTGTACGAGAACAATAGCCCTCTCTCCAAGACGTACATACTGTTTCTGTACCTAATGCTGCTTCACAGTGACGAAAAGGGCATTTATTTCCCTAAAGCACACGAGAGAGCAAAATTATATTAAATTAATATTCATAAAATATATAAATCTCATTCTCTTATTTGCTTAATAATGTATTTTAAAATAATATTGAAAAATATTTAATTTTTCTTAAAAATTATATCTCTTCAACTATATTTCTTATAAAAGTTTGTCATTATGCTAAAGAATTACTGTTGAAAGTACATTCTGATTATAACCCACATCAATTATAAGTATTATCCAAAAATTTCACTACAAACATATTACAATGTACAGTACATACATACCTGTATCTAAAACACAATTGTTATTAAATTCTATACAACATTGTCTACAGTAAGATCCAGTAAAATAAAAAAAAATTGGAGTATACATTCTCTAAAAATAATTTTGGAAAAGTTCTTTGAGAAACATTATTATTATTATTATAAATTGACTTCACACAGAACAGATTCATAATCAGAACCCATAGTCTGATTATTGAAGATTGTATAACTTTGTTTTTAGTGTATCAACTACAAGATACTTTCTAGTTTAACAATCATTAATTTGTAGCAATTACAGTTAAGTAATTATGTATGCCTAAATAAGATTATATTTCCAAAATAAATTCAACATTAAAGTTTGCATTTTTCTCATTGAGAAATTATTTTTAAGTATTGTATACATGTAGAATTTATTTTTAATAATAAAATACTTCCATTTTTTTACTCAACATAAATTTGAAAAGTAAATTACATTTTGGTATGAATACAGCAATTAATCAACATTTACTACAGTATACTGTAAGCTGTAGTTTAAAGATTCTAGTAATTCTCAGGCCATGATTACAAACAATTTAATTCTGAAAAACGAATTGATTATAAAATATAACTAACTTGATTCAATTCAAAATTGAGCATGAGCTATTTTGCTTGTAAGTAGCAGATCTGATTGTTTGCTATGGAAGATGCTAAAAACTGTGTTAGTTATGTAATTGACTTAAAACTGATGTAATTAGTACATAAATAACATCAATATTCACCGGCTAACAGGATTCTTAAATTAAAAGTGCTTGGGCAGTATGCACATCCTTTTCTTATGCTCCCATAGTGTCTCTAGCTGCTTGCAATCCTATTTTTAGGTGATCAATGTAACTAACCTAACCTATCTGCAATAGCTAGGATTGCCAACTGTCCTATTTTGAACCAAACTGTCTGGTTCTGTGGATCTTGTCTAGTGTCCAACTGAGAAATCAAACCAAATACCAGCAATTTTTATATACATCAAGTCTGTGGATCTGGCTGAACCAATTAAGAACTTAGGAAAAAGCCCTCTTAATGCCCAGAAGGTAGAGTGGGGAAAAATATATATTTATTTATACATATTTATAAATTTATATTTCTGAGATCAATGATCAGAATGAAATACTAAAAAATTTAGTATATAAATATTCCCTTACTAATGCAATTATTGAAGTTTTTAAAAAGTTCAATAATTGCATTAGTAAGAGAATAGTAATGATAAACTGTTGAGTAAAAACCATTTAAAAAGATCAATATACAAATTACACAACATAAAACATTAACACACAAATTATGTAAACAACAAAACAAATCTGTTTAAAGACTTCTTTATCTTTTGTAGTAAATGCATCTATTTAAACAAAAATTGCAGAATAAACCATTTTTGACCATTTTATACCATTATGAGAACATTTATGTATAAAACTATGACGACATACCCTTGTACATGTAGAATAAAAATAAAAATAGCAGTCATCATTGCTTCGGTCAGTAGACATTCTTCTTAAACTTCTATCACTTTGATAATCAGTTTTTCTACAGTAATTTAAAAAATTGCATATTATTATAAAGTTACAAAATTCAATCTAAAAATTTAATTATTTACATATAATAATTCTATAGGCTAATTAATTTAAGTTAATATTCAATACAAAAAATATTTTTAAGCTTTTTATTTTTTTAATCATATTATAATATTAATTAATCATAAATCTTTGATAATTAATGTTAAACAATTGAGGAAAAAGACCATTTATTATTATTATTATTTTCAGTTTAGTGGGTTATACTCAGTTCACACCAGTGGCTGTTTACTATGCCAGACCAGAGTCTAGGCATAGCAACCAAAAACAAAAATTAGTTAAGTGTGTCAGTGTCTGTATTAAGGAATTTCCTCACAATGTGACATGTATTCAATATAGTGGCCTTCTGTAGTGTGACGTATGTATTTCTTTTCAATTGTAATGTTCCCAGCTTTTTGTGTAGTGTGTGTGGTATCACACCTGTACAGGAGAGAACGACAGGTACAATAAGCACTCTATCCATCCTCCACAGATGCCTGATTTCCTGGGCGATTTCTGTGTACTTGCTGATTTTTTCAGTGCATGTGTTTTGTACATTGTGAGTGTTTGGAATGGCTATGTCTATAATGTATGTGATTTTATTGTGTTTGTCAATGAGTGTGATGTCTGGTCTGTTGTGGTAAATTGTTTTATCTGTGATTATGGCTCTGTCGTAATACATTTTGTGCGTGTTATTTTCCAATACTGTCTGTGGAATATACTTGTAGTATGGTTCGTGGATGTCTGCCAATTTGTGTTTCTTTGCAAGCTCTTGGTGTATTATATTTGCTACTTGATTGTGTCTATGTAAGTAATCTGTCTGTGCCAAGAGCTTGCAACCAGAAGTGATGTGTTGTATAGTTTCTGGCATGATGTGACATTTTCTGCATGTGTCATTTGTGAGTGTTGTATCTTTGAGTATGTGTTTTCTGTAGTTTTTAGTATTTATGACCTGATCCTGTATGGCAATCATGAATCCTTCCGTCTCCCCAAAGAGGCATCCCCGATCTAACCAGCTGTTTGACGCAGTTTTGTCAACAAAATCCTGGGCCAGGTCGTAAGGATGCCTGCCATGGAGAGCCTTTTGAGCCCATGATTGCTTAATGTTGTCTATGCTTTTTATATGTTGTGTCATGTCTGTATGTTGTGAGTGTAAGTTTAATGGTGTGTTATTTGAGTCTGCTAGAGTTACTGCTTTATGTAACTGTGATGTTTCTTGTTTCTTGTAGAAAAACTCTCGCAGTGACTGTATTTGTTTGTAGTGAAGGTTAACTATGTCAATCAGGCCACGTCCGCCTTCTTTACGTGGAAGGGTTAATCTTTCTGTGGCGGATTTAGGATGATGTTGTTTATGCTTAGTAAGTGTTGTTCTTGTTTTCCTTTGGAGTTGCTCGAGATCTGTGTGAGTCCAATGTATAACTCCAAAAGAGTATGTGAGTACTGGGATGACATATGTGTTTATTGCTTTAACTGTGTGTTTTGCATTTAACTGTGTTCTAAGTATAGCGTTTAACCTACTTTGGTATTCTTTAATTAATCGTTGCTTTATTTGTGTATGTTCTGTTAGTTTGGCCTGTTGGAATCCTAAGTACTTGTAGAACTCGCCCTCTTCCATGGATTCAATAACGTCTCCATTTCCAAGTGCAAAATCTTCTTTCTTCAGGATTCCTTTTTCTATGTGAAGTTTTTTGCATTTGTCTAGGCCAAACTCCATTTGTATGTCCTTAGTGTATGAATGTGTGATTTGTAGGAGTTGATGAAGTTGTTTTTGTGTGGATGCATAAAGTTTTATGTCGTCCATGTACATGAGATGTGAGAGTGTAAACTGTGTTGTTTTTTCGTGTCTGATATTGTAGCCGTATTGCGTGTTGTTTAACATGTTGGATAATGGATTCAGGGCTAGGCAGAACCAGAGAGGACTCAAGGAATCTCCTTGAAAAATTCCTCGCCTAATGAATATTTCGTTTGTTTGTATGGAAGTGTTACTAACCCTGAGATGTAGTGTTGTTCTCCAGTGCTGCATAGTGTTTTCGAAGAATGCAATGAGTGATGGATGTATTTTGTACATGTGTAGAATATGTAGCAGCCAACTGTGTGGAACACTGTCGAATGCTTTTCTGTAGTCTATATATGCCATGTGTATGTTTCTGTGTTGTTTGTGTGCTTGCCGTAGAATGACTGAATCTATGAGTAACTGTTCTTTGCATCCCCTGTGATTTCTACTGCAACCTTTTTGTTGTTCCGTAAAAACGTCGTGTTCTTCAACATGTTTGTATATTTTGTTTGTGATACAGAATATCAGTAATTTGTAGAGTGTTGGAAGACATGTAATTGGTCTGTATTGTGTGGGGTCTGTGATGGTGTTCTTTTTAGGTTTCATGCAGGTGATGCCCTGAGTAAGAAATTTTGGCATGTCTTGTGGGTTGATGATGATGTGTGTTAGATGTTTGGCTAGTTCCTGGTGCAATGATGTAAATTTTTTGTACCAGAAATTGTGAATGTTGTCTACACCAGGTGTCTTCCAGTTGTGTGTTCTGTTAACAGCGTAGCAGATGTCGTGTACATTTATTTAGGCACAGGGCATAGTTGGTATGTTGTGCAAGTTTCTGTTCTCTTCCTGGGTCCAGTCTGCATGAGCATTGTGTATAACAGCATTGGACCAAAGAGAAGACAAATAAGTTGTGAGTTCTTCTGTGCCACTATGCTGTGTATCAGTGTTTGTATTGGTATTAATTTGTCTGTAAAAGTTTTTTCGTTGTTTGTAAATAACTTATTTTGTTGTTTTCATAATGTACATGTTTTGTATTGTTTGATCGCTTCGGCTGCGAGTTTCTGTTTTAGTGTATCAATGTATTCTGTAATGTCTGTGCTGCCGTAGAATGACAATCTATGAGTAACTGTTCTTTGTGGCACTGTGTTTTGATTTTCTTGAACTGTTTGTTTAATTGAGCGCTATGTTGTTTTTAGTGTATTGTATTGGCCTGCCTAATTGCTGTCTAATGTCATTTATTTGTGTTTCTATTCTTCTCTGCCAGGCAGGCTTGTGATAAAATTGTGTTTTGTGTGTATCTGTCTATGATTGTATTTTCAGTCCATGGTGTGTTAGTACTGTGACTGCCCCAGCATAAACTAATGTATGAATGTCTGAGAGTGTAGAAATTGAATGAATGTACTTTGGTAGTGAGTGAGTGTTTACATAATTTAATGTTTTTCCTACTACCTTTGACGTGCTGATTTTTGGTATTCATGGTCTTTGTGTGGGATCTGTACCAGTATATTTAATGAGTGTTTCCTGAAATATAAGTGAGAGTGTATTAACTAAATCTATATCTACGTTATCAGTGATGGATGAGGAAGTGCCTGTAGTATCATTAGTTGTAGTTGTTGTATGTGTGCTAATATCAATGCTTGTTGCTGGATTATCCTGACAGGCTATGTGATCTTCATTAATGTTAAAAGTTTCTGTCTGTTGATGTATTTGATCAGCAACCTGTTGTTTGATCAGTTCAAATGTTGTTTGTGGGATAAGGTTGTTGTGTATAATTGTTCTTTTTTGATCAACAACCCTTTGTTCGGTGACAGTGAGGTGAGGATACTGTTGTGTGAATCTATAGTGTAGTTGTTGTCTGTATGCTGTCATATTTGTTTGGAGTTTTGTGATTGCGTAGTAATTACGGATGATAAACTCGTTCATTTCTATTGTCCATTTCATCTGTTGGCGGGGTTTTCCAGCCTTTGTGGTCTGTGGATGCTTTGCCACAGAAATACCTAGGCTAGGTTGATTCCTCACATCTGTTGAGGGCATTGCAGTAGCCATGCTTGGGCTGGTGCTGCTTTTGCCACCGGTAACCAAGGGAGACATTGGCCTATTTTTTGAACATGAGCCTCTGCCTAACCCACAAATGCGGGCCTTGTTACCCAGGCGATGTCCGAGCTGGTATCATACTTAGATCTGGTTACTACCATGATAAATATCTCCACAGAATGTGAGAGTGGTCACTCTTAGCTTCATTTCTCCCGATAGACCTTACTGGCATGGGTGTCCCTACCAGGAGCTTGTGCTCCAGCCTGCATTGTCCTATGGATCAGTAAAATTACTGAGCTCTCCCAGACCAGGTGGTGACCACAGGAGAGTTGTTATTATTATTATTATTATTATTATTATTATGACAAATTATTACTCCCTAATAATATTTTCTTAAAACTTCAAACTGCTTAATTCTTTGTGAGCAATGCTCCATTTTATTACATACATCAGAAGAATATAAATTTATGTTTTTAAACTGCTGAACAGAAACTACAGTATATGATACTTAGATAGGTGTCAGAAATTACTATTATTTACTATTTAAATTTACATTAATTAAATTTAGTTCTCCATTTTGTATATTTTTCATGCTTCACATAGCTTTTCCAAATACATAAAATGAAAATTATTAAATCTGGTATAGAAATAAGTGACATAAGTACAATTTTATAAGAATTTTAAGCTTAATAAATTTCCATCTGATTCTTCTGATTTGATAATGGAAACTATTTCCATTATTATAGATTGAAAAATCCAGCAAAGTTAGTACTACAGTAGAACCTCGAAAACTCGGCTCTCGATAACCCGGCACTCCGGATAACTCGGCCACACCCTGGCAGGGCAAAAATACCCTTAGATAATTAATTTTCATTATAGACAGCTTTATAAAAGTGTAAAAGCTCTCATAAACTATTTTTCTGAGGTCTGCCCTATCAGGTAAATTACTTACACAGTGTATTCATTAATTTTCATTTTCATGTAGTAAAGGCTCTATGCCTTCATAAAGTACGTACTTTTCCTTTGTTTAAGGGTATTTGGCAGTTTATTCTCTGTTGTATTCTCCAGCAAACAATACATACAAGTACAGTACACCATTTTCTGAGGAAACACGCATACTTATCCTTTTTTAACCCCATTCTCGATAACCCGGCATTTTCACAAACTCGGCCACCCTTCGGTCCACATTAGGCCGAGTTTTCGAGGTTCTACTGTATTAGTAAACCTTAATAAATAAAAGTTCAAAAGCTAATTAATTTAGAAATTTATGTAAGAACATTTGTATTGTGTATTATATTTGATAATTATTAATAGGAGAGTTTTGGCATTTGACTCTTGATGTCACAGTAATGTCAATTCAAAGAAAGCTCAATTTTGCAAAGAGAAGTGTAGTCTCATGGAACAAGTTTGAAGTTGCAATGACCATTTCATTTTTCAGACTGTTCCAACTAATAAGGTTCTGTGAATGATAAGTTAATGACATGGTCAAAATAGAAAATTTCATTTATCGGCATTAATATATATTTTCTGTTAAAGTGGATGTAAATAATATTTTTACAACAAAAATACAATTATATATTCATTTCAAAATAAATTACACTTTTCTAAGCCTTTCAGTCTTCATAAGTTATATACAAACATCTTGAAACCTGATATATTTGAAAAAAGATAAACAACTAACAGATTACATTGGGCTACTTTTTCTGTGATTATATTTAATTAATTTCTAAATAATAGGAGACTTGGGTAGCATAACTGGCAATGCATCCCCAGTAAGCAGTTGAGAGTTTGGGTCCCACTCTGGGCCAATTCTTTTCTTTCAGAATATTCTAAATTATTTTATTTAATTATAATTATTAAATTTAATAAGAGATAGGACATGACACCATGCTCTAGTAACAAATTATTTAGAAATTAATTAAATATAATCATGGAAAAGTAGCCCAATGTAATCCAGTAATAGTTTGACTTCACAATAGTGTTAATATTTTATTTGATAAACTTATTATAATATATTGTAATAAGTTTATTATATATTACATTATATATTTAATATATTGATAAGTTTATTATAGCTTATTATATCATAATGTATGTAACATTATGAGGAATTAATAATCAGTAAATATTTAAAGTAAATTTTATTACATTACATATACATTGATAGTCATGTTAAATGATAACAAATTGTAGTTGAAGTAAAGAACACTATACATAATCTCAACCAACAAAAGAGAGACTTATTACAATGAATTCATTTCATTCTTATATATCATTCAAGCAAGAAAGATGATTTGAAAATTCATATCAATGAAGTTATGTCAATAGTCAAGTATCAACATAATTAATAAAAAATTTGGCTAGTATCTTCAAAAAATGAATGTAGGACCAAAATTTAATACAAAAAAGAACTTTAACATTAATGTAATTAAAATTGTCTTACATTTTAAATTAAATTTCAAAAGATATATTATTTTAATAATAAACATGAAATAAAGGAGATATATATATACTATACTAAGAATGAAGTATGTAGACCTATATAATGAAATGCAATGAGACTCCATATGCTGATTAACATAACTCTATCAGTACAGTTGTATCAAAATATATCACTTTGAAAATACTTGGCATATGGCAGTATGAAAATATGAAAGCATAAATAAAATAAAATAAAGCAGCATGTTTGGATAAAATTGAGTTGAAATGTCTTCAGATAAAAAGCATACCTGGCATGCTACTCTTTATAAATTTTGGAAAGGATATAATGCTGTACAAACAGTAAAAAAGGTTTTTTAATTTGTATGGGGAAGATGCTTCTAAGCTTGAAATATATAAATGTGGTTTAAAAAGTTCTGTTTGAGAAATTTTGAACTAATGGATAAACAATGTGCAGGGCATTCAAAAGATGTAGAGAAGAAAAATTGCAGGAAGAAATTGTTAAAACTTGAAAAACACACAATATATATAACCAAACATACCAAAAATAAAGTGAAAAAAAAAACACTAAAAACATACAAGCATAACACAAGAGATGTCTTGTATTTACAGTTCAAGTGTATTTTTCCATGCATGCACAGTTTAAACGCTTAAACATCATTTGAAATTCTATGCAAATTTTTGTCAAATTTAGCACTTGAATTCAAACAATCAAAGTACAAGATACCACTGTATTTTGTTTTGCCATTGAAATAAAAAATAAAAATAGCTATATATTTCTATCATTGTCATATAATAAAATTATGTTTTCTTTTATTATTTATGACACAGCAATTCTAATTCAAAATAAAACTTAGAAGTTACAGAATATCTTTAAGCATTATTTTTTCAATCTAAAACAAGAATGTACAACCTATCTATAAAAAAAAAGACAAACAATATGTTAATACAGGATAACATTAGATTTTATGTAATGAAACATTTATAATGAAAATATGATTACTATGGATAACAAACCTTCAAATTTCTCTCTTACAACCTCATGATTTTTGTTCACTAGACACATGAACATCAGTAAAGAACATCAGTATAATTTTTACTTTCTTACACCAGTAGTCCTTTGGCACAGCAGCCATTTAGTGTCAAAAATGTAAAATTTTATTATTTTTATACAACAGCAAACTGGGTCTTTCCATTTAGTTTAGTATGGGGTTTCTTTGTTTTTGCTTATATATGTATTACAGTAGACCCCCTATAACACGGGTTCCTATAATTACGATTCCTATAAGACGGCAAAAAAATTGCGACGGTATCCGTACAAACCTGGTAAAAAGCTCCTATAAGTCATCGGGCAGCCGAACTACTTTCCGCCGTCCAGCGCCATGCTACAGAGAGTTTAGGCGAGTAAGTTGTTTACTATCGTCTGTACAGTATGTAAATTAGGTACCGTAAGTCTAATACAGTACTCTAATTTTATACATTTCTTGTGAAAGAAACATTTCTTATTCAACGGCCATAAAAATTATTTCTATTAATGATGTCTCCGAAGTTCAACAAAGTTTTTGCAGAAAAATAACTTATCAGAAATCGCCCGATGTTTGGTGTGCTGCTCCGTGATGAAAACAAGCTTGAGCAATAGCGACATTGAACGGTGCACACTCGGTAAGTAATCCTACAATTTTTTGTTTATAGCATAGTTTATACGGATTATTCCCAAAAAAAATATACATATTTTGGAAATGTTGAGTCGAATTAGTCTAGAATCGATTAATTTTATGGAAGAAAACCTTTCAAACAGTGTAGTCTGTAAACTTCACACGTGTCAGGCTGTGATTGGCAAGGACGCGTAAGAAATCGATTCATAAAGAACGGAACTTATCTACCGTGTTATGGGGGGGGGTCGACTGTATATGCATTTATTTATACAATGCTTATTTTTAATTTACAGTAATAGTAACTACAGCTTTCCTTAATGTTAAATAAAGGACAAAAAACTAGACCTGAGAAAAAGTAACTTACAAAAATTCTTTAAATGCAAATGACTGCTATTTCAAAGAACCTCTGGCTTACCCAGTAGTTTACCATCTATAGATCAATTAACCATTTTCAGAAAAGGAAAGGTATAATAAAATTTTATAAAAATATTTATATTTACAATTAAAGTAATAATTTTGAATTTAATTGTAATGTTTGAATAATTGCAATTTTTGTTTCAATTGTATGTTATACAAGAGTTTAGTTTTGCAGGAAATAAATTATAAAATAGCTCTCAAAAACAAAACAATAGTAAAAAGTTCATAGCATCATGCAAATCATCTTCAGTTTGAAGAGGACTTCAAGCCGAAGGTGATTTGCATGATGTTACAAACTTTGATTTGCATGATGATATAAACCTGGAGATGATTACAGTGTAACCTCTCTTAATGAGCAAAACAAATTGTAGAAAAATAACTCAGTTAATCAGTGATGTTTTGCATAATGAGTGACAAGGAGAGGGGAAGTTCCGGATTATGCATATGCTACATCAGTCTGTATTTAGCATTCATTCTGCTATCATCTTAGTGTTGCTTGTAATCAACATATTTTTCCAAATTTGTGTTCAGACATATTACATATAAACATCAACAACCATAACCCATTATATAATAAACACACCAAACAATATGCCAAATTATTGGATTATGTAAAAGCTATAATTAAATATTAAAAATTATTGTATTTTGATTTTTTTTTGTTTATTGCAAATCAAATTCGCATTCCAGGTTGGTTTATTCCGCACCAGAAGAAATGATGATGATTCATACTCCTTAACAATGTATATTGTATAATTTTCTTTGAATAAACATTTTACATAAAATATTTGAGTACTTTTTTCAGCATGGAATGCATTATCATATTTTACATTAATTTATAAGGGAAAAATTGTTTCACTTAACAAATGTTTTGCATTACAAATAAGATTCTGGAACAAATTATGCTTGTTACACAAGGTTCTACTGTACTCTTCTTATCCAGGTTTACAAAATGTTACATATTTCATTATATATTGAGATAAATGTGAGAGAACCTGGGCTAATGCAAATTTTTTGAATTGAAATTATCCCGATTTAAATTTATGGATTTTATTTTGCCAAACTATAACAGCAAAGATGTCATAGAAACCATTCAGGAACGGAATGAACTTTTTTCCATGGACTGTACTTCCTTCATGAGTGACACAGCTTCAGAGTGACTATTCATCGAGGAAAAGAGAGAGAAATCATGGATTGGAACAACTGACCATTTTACCAAAACTGGGCATTAGAATGCCAGAGAGAGGACCCCCAAATAAAAGGGTAAAAGACAGATGACAACATGCAGAGTTTGTTGATCAACCTACTTTAGTGTGGGTGTATTCTAGCTGTGCTCTGCTGATCCCTTCAACTGAATGCCTTCACCAGACGTTAGACACCTTCCACAACGAACATTCAATAGCAAACTGTACGATCAAGGAATCTAACCCTATCCAACCCAGTGGAAACCTCTGCACTCTTCATCAAGACAATTCACAGTATCAAGACTTCAATCAAACTGATTCAGCCAAACCAGGTATTTATTGACACACATCTGAGTTTGTAAACTCTCTCTCTCTCTCTCCCCACTAAGCAATTATAAACTAGACCCTGGGTTGCCAAGCTCCTTGATAGTCCGAGCCATTTTTAAAATTTGAAATTTTTTCGCGAGCCGCAATTAAATACGTATTAAAAAGGTATGCAAAAAATTCCAGATTACAAATTATATCGGTAGGAAGAGGGATACAAATTGTTTCCTCCAGAGCACAATGTCAACTGTCCGTTGCAATGATAGTTTACAAATTCAAAATCGGTCTGGAGTCGGTCGATAATGGACGATTACGCCACTGTTTATGTTCGTTCGCGCAGTTTTCAATGAGTCATATCATTCTTAACTTGGACGGTAATGAAATTTGTTACAACGTTGCACTTAGTCTTTCATATTTGTTGTTAGTAATTTAAAAGACATTTTGAAACACATACGGAATGATAATAATTTTTAAAAATATAATAACACAAAAATGAAAAGGGAACTCGGGTACATTTAACGAGAGCCACAAATAATCCTTCAAAGAGCCGCATGTGGCTCGCGAGCCGCAGGTTGGCCACCCCTGAACTAGACTTTCCTCATTTATGTTTCACTCTTGTAAAGTTGTTACATTAAATAAATTGTTGTTAATTATTGTTAAATGTGTAGTGGAGTGCATTATTTCTGGTGTGCATGCAGAACTCAACCATTTATGTACACGACTACTTGTGTGAAATTAATATATGGACCTGATGATCACAGTGGTGTCAGTCCTGACTTGGGCATTGCCAATGAGGTGACAACCTAACAGTCACAAATGAAAATATAAGATTAATTATTTTTCATTAAAAACTTCCAAATGAGGAAAAATACAAAAATGTTACATTTGTATTGAAAACCGATTTCTGATAAAGAATTTTGACGAATGAAAAATTTAGCTTATTTTAATAGTTTCAATACTATAAAAATAACAAACAAAAATCTCACAATAGAATAACATGGTAGAGCATCAATTATCTGAAATAATCAAGGCAGGACAATGGATAACTGATCACATTTGATAGAGAAAGGAGAAAAATCAATAACTTAAATAAAATAAAAATATTGATTTTAATTGTAGCACAATAGCAAAAATAATTAAGACCTAGAAATTTAATAAATATGAATGATTAGGAAAAAAAAATTAATTTATTAAAAACAAGTTGCAGTCTATTATCATAATTACAATATACTGATGAAACAAAACTCTGAATTCAAAATAAAAATACATAATAGTGAAATTAATAATAATAAGACAATTCAATAGCAGGCCTACAGAAGATCAACAACAATTGTTACTGGTATTACATAAAACTGCACAATGTCTAGAATTACATGAGTGTTTGATTATTTAATAACAACAACATTTTTCAAATATCAAGAACTTAGTAAAAATTATTTTAATAAATACAAAATTGATATTTTTATATATTTGACATAACTAGAATTAAAACCATTTTTAAATCAAAATATTTGAATTTAAATTAATTTAAGGTATTATCTACATAAAATATCTAAGCACATCAAATGATATATTTGATTTATATAAAATTTAATTTGTACTTAAGAAATATATGGAGGTTAAAGATATCAATAAAACAATTAAGATTTTAAGTGTAATAAAAAAATTAACCTACTTAAAAATAAGCTAAGGTTAAATAATATTTAACCTTAGCTTATTTTTTGAATGGATTAAAAAAAAAAAAAACATAATAATCAGGTTAATAAATCAACAAAGTAAACTAAATATGAGGACTTTTTATTATGAAAGTGTTGTAAAGTCCATTTTTGGAAAAAATTGTAAAAACAATAATTTAGATATAATTTATTGTTAACTTTTTATTTATAAACAATTCACAGTTTGTTTTAAAATACAGTATTTAAAAATGTTTTTGGTAAATGAAATTACATAATCATTTATTATGTGAGTGATACAAGTCCATTTCCTGTAGTCTAATTAAACATTAGATAAGCCAATGGTTTCCAAACTTTCTGTACCTCTGCCCCCTCTTTCAGAAAAAAATTGTTGCACCCCCTCAATTTTCGTAACAATCTAATTTCATAAATACCGTCCTTATAATTTATTTAATGGCCTACAAAATATAGCTTATTAAATGAAATATATTGTTCACCATGAACGACTCTTGTTGACTTTTCAATAAAAGTGTGAATGGATTTTTAGCAGTCATAACAGAGTTGTTCAGACAAGGGTTGTGAATTAGGCAACCAATTTGACTTTTTTCATTTGTTTGTATTAAAAAATGATAATTTGATAAAAACCATGCCCCACAGACTAGAAAACACTGGGATAAGCTAAGAAGTAAAATTGTGGAATTTTACAGACTCACAATATAATACAAAAATGTACAAGTTTATTAAAAAGGATTATCTAATTTTCTACAAAACATTGATGGAGGAGGGAGAATTCAGAACTAGATTTATCACAAACCAGACAAAGAAGACCTCTTAAACATCACAACAAAAATGCTAGAACCATTACATCTGAAAATATGAAGATATGATGCAGTTACTACCTCTAATATCTCCAAAGTATCATGACTATTTTAACACACTTTCACAACAATCCAAAATCAAAAACAAACTAACATTAAAGTTATAAGCATAATATAATTTAANAATACATAATAGTGAAATTAATAATAATAAGAC